CCAACCATGTCATACTAGCATGTCGGGAAGGGGGCTAAAGAATGCTCTAAAGTTAGGCTACAATTTGGCAGTGGAATAACTGGTATGACCATTTTTAAAGGGACCCCTTTTACCTCCAGATATCTGAATGAAATGGGTTATATGGGTGCCCACAAGTCTCCCCTTTACAAACATGGCCACTAATGCAGATTTGGGCAAAAACCATTCAGTTTGTGGTATAAATGTTTTATTTTCTTCTAGTTTATTTGAATATTTCTGGAAACTGTCCATAAACAATACTGGAATTGCCAAAGTTAGTAATGATGGAAGTCACGTACTTCATGCCACCCCTGCATAGGACTGCCAACCCAGTCAAAAGTTGTGTAATCAGTTTTTTGTTTGGTTTTGTCGCTTTGCTTTCAGAATTAAACTAAGATAAATAAAGAAATAAGAAAACGTCTCAGTTAATAAGTATGGACATGGGTAAATTATTGCCTCACAACCTTACTGTAGCAATAAAAGAGGCTTGTTGTGCAGCGATGAACACTGACAGTAAATAGGTCAATGGACATACTAGAGATACTAATCAGCAAGCTCTTATCAAGTGACCTTTAAACTAAAAATACTGACAGCTCATTCTGGCTTTATCTGATAATTTAGCTGACAGTAAGATTATTACAGCCAGATGAGACAGTGACACACACACGTGTTTCCTAAATGTACACAATAAGCCAAAACTGCTTGTCCACTTGCTACTTAACAAATCCAATGAAAATACCCAAACCAAACGTGAATTGATCCCACTGACAAGTATTATCTGTATCAAAGTCTGATACATCTTATTCTTCTGTGTCGTAAAGCTCTATTGTTATCTAAAAGCAAATAAAAACACATCAGTGAGCCTTTTTATAACTGTGATATCATCATGTGCTCCATCCGTTTGGTTTGCTGTCCTACAAAGTTTAGGTTCTGTTCAGCTGCATGGATAAAAAGTATAAGACAGGTTGGAAACAATGGAAAATGAAGAGTTTATTTGAATATACTTCACAACACAACAAAAAACAGCAGCAGTCAGCTGTAGAAATGTGTTTATGTGCTGCTAAAAACCACAGAACACAGACAGTTCAACACTAACACTTACAATCTATGGTCCTTTTACACTTCCTGTCGCACATAGTTCAAATGAAGTCTTACAGTTAAAATTAATTTTAAGTCAGACTAAAGGAGAAGAATCATTAGATAAGCAATAAGTGCCTATAAACATCAGAAATTTGCAAATGTTTTAGATTTTTCTAGAAACATCCTTCTCAGAACAAAGTTTAAGAAAATAAATATATATATAAATATAAATAAATAAGTAAATAGATTTCTTATATAGAAAGCCAAAAGGCTCACCTTAATAATAATACTACTAAAAGGCTACCCAGACAAAAGAGATACATTTCTGATCAGTGTGGTCTGTCCCACTTCTTTTGTGATTGGCTGATTACAGTTCAACAGTACCACAGAGTGAAGATCATTATGTAATCGCCACCAGGCGTTTATTAAGCCTGATTCATACTTCTGTATGGGAACGACACTGTGGCTACGGTAGTTTTCAAATTAATATAGCAACTTCTGATTAACCCATATTAAAATAAGGTCTGATTAAAGCCCTGTCCATTCTGAGTACAGATACAGATCATTTAGTACAGATAATCGCTCATCCTTAATTTTTAACTTGTCCAAAGCAGTTTGCGAGGGATTAAGCTGTCCGTAGATTGACCATTACACCACAATGCTCAGGAACAGATTCACCTCGCCCCCATACACACACTCTCCCTCAGCATTTCTGCAGGGTGCCACCCAATGGAGCTTATGTGTTCATGTCATGGATGTAGCGTGCTGCCATTCCATTCAGGAGAAAGAGGAATATAGCAGTGATCTGGCACCAGAAGGTGAGTGTGAGGCCCACTGGTGACACAAACCCTTGAAGCAGAGCCACGAACATGGCCACACCTGACGCAGACATGGATGCTGCCACCAGCATCAGGTCTGAGCCCTGGACCCATCGACAGGCTGAATCCTGGCCCTGGCTCGCCTGGGAAATCACCTGGAACTCCAGGCCAAAGATGGCAGCCACCACAGCCAGGGAAACCAGAGCACGACAACAGGCCATCCCCACCTGCACCCCCTCCACACCAGACTGACCCAGCTCGGTGATGCAGTGCAGGTTGGCTGAAGCTTTATGTCCTACAAAGGCTGACGGGCTGTGACGCTCAACTGGTATCATCCCATCCACACTTTCCACATGTTCTGTGGAACAGAAGCGCCACAGGCCAAACGTGTGTCCTCTGGAAGTCTGAAGCCAGTGGCCATCACACAGGGCTGTGGCGGAGAGGATGATGGACAGGGTGGTGCAAAGGATGATCAGGCTGCGGACCAGGGCTTGCAGGGAGTGGGGATGTGGTTTCCTCTGTAGTAAAGAGCTTCTGTAGACCTACAAATGACATGGAGGGGTCATTTCTGCTTTCTGCTAACACTTTTGTTAGTGCAGTGGTTTTCAAACTTGGGTCCAGGGACCAACAGGGGTCTTTGAGTGGGCTATAGGAAGTCCCCAGCAAAAGGAGGAATAGAAAACGTCTATGACATTTTTTATCACCAGCTATTAGGTTTGCTGAATACTTGGCTGAAACAAGGATCCGGTACAGATAATGTACCTTATACAAGTATCATCATAGTAAAATGTATCAATATCCATTTTCTAATAAACAATAAATATAGCAAACTTAAAAAAAACTGATGATGATGTACTCACTCTTCCCTACCAACTATTTTGTGTGGTTTGGAGATGAAAGACAGAAGGTGGCAGAGGCTAAGCTGCTAAGATTTTCAATGCGAGTGAAAACGATAGGCAATAGGCTAAAGAGGAGGTCTCTGAAAGTGGTGACGGAAGACATGCATGTGGTTGTGGTTAGTGTGACAGAGGAAGATGCAGGGGACAGGAAAAGATGTAAACAGCTGATCCACTGTGGCAACCCCTAACGGGAGCAGACAAAAGGTGGGGCAGAAGAACTTTTATCATATTTGTTGGAAGTTATAACAAGAAGGGAAGAAATAGAGTTGTCCGTTTTGATTGTAGTTTATAGTGATCAGAGTTTGATCACTGATTGACTATAAAGACTTCAACCCTAAAAACAAAAATAAAATACTCAGAGGGTATTCCTTAAGACAAAATCCTCTCATATTGGGGGGCTCTGGTCTATAATGTGCATCTGTTGTGACATGAAAAAATTAAAGAGTAAACACAGTTGTTAGTTTACACTTGGTACATTTGGTGATTATCCTTGAAATATCCTCCCCTTTGGCTGAACATTAGTCAATTCCTACAGCAGATCTTTTCTTTGAACCTGAAAATAACAGTAATGAGGCTTTTTATAGAGCATTTGAATATCCTACAACATGTCTAGTAGGAAAAATACCTCACTGTAATGGATAAAAAACACATGAAGATTGGCTTAAGTGCAAGTACAACTTTAAGATGTTTGTACTTTTCTTGAGTACTTTCCATTCATTTGACAGCTACTTTTTACCTTTATTTTACACACAAACACACGACCATCTTACAAATAGACTAAACTATGGTTAAAATAGAATAAATCAAACTTGATTACCTTGACACCAATGGCAGTCATGGTGTGTGCAGATTGTAGAGTCCAGTGTTGAAGTCAAAGGTTCAGGGAGTGACTGGCATTAATGTTTGATTAAAGTGAACTAGAATAAGCAACCAAAAGCACTCCTGTCCTCTGCTCCAAGTCCTCTCCTGTCACTCCTAATCTGTGGGAAACTGCTGTTTTTGTCTTCCACTCCTCGGTTGGTAACCCCGAGTGAGACACCAGCAGAGGAAGTATGAGAGGGTTTGGAGGGCTGGTTGAGACATCTAGTGTTCAGATGACAGAACAAGACCAGGCACCTTTAAAGGCAAAGAGCTTTACCTAAGACATAAGGCCATTTACGATTTACAAAGAGCAAAATAAAATGGACAATAAAAATAAGCTAAGACAAATTAAACAGGAGAATAAAACTGCAGTGCTTAATACATACATTCTACAGACTCTTAATATTTATAGCCCATATTTCCCTTGAATTACTTGCTGTATATTTTTGTCCTGTGTAATTTTATTATTAATTTTATTTACACCACTGTGCCACTACCTCCTGCTGCAATATTTGTGAATGTTATTCATCATTCAAGACAATGTATCTATTCAATAATCTTATTGTGCAATGACCCTTCATTCCCATCTGTATATAAAAATGTGTATATAGTGTACGTTTTTTTCTGTTTCTATTATATTTGTATTATGGTATTTTCTTATCTCATGTGTTGTGTTGTATCTTGAGCTGCTGTAACAAGCGAATTTCCCAGTGGGGGATCAATAAAGTCTATCTTATCTTATATCTAATATAATGAAATGCAGTGGCAAACAGAAAGGTTTTGGTCCTTGATTTAACATACCTGCTCCAATTCAATTCTCTGATACACAGGAGGCTTGTGTGAAGATCTGAGTACTAGACTCATGTGATCCACATTCTTGTGGAGTCTGGCAGCAGGGTTCTGAATCAGCTGTATGGATGGATTACTGCAGTGGTTACCAACCTTTTTTTTTCTCAGACGTAAAACCACAGTCCCATCAGATGACCTCAATTACCCCTCCATCAACACCACCAATCATGTTCCAAATGTGTTAATTGATGTTAAACACTATTTAACACTAGTGATTACCCTATATAAAAGTGGATATTATTGGATATATGTCTTGAGGGGATCTTTAAGCATGAACACCAGTGATTCCTCAAAACATGGTGGTGTGGATACTAATGGAGCCTCTCCTGCCATTACTCCCAGATCCAGTGCTCTCATCTTCCCCTGTTTTCTCAAAGTAAAAAGGCTTTCAAAGTTGCCCAGAAGCCTCCAGAACCACAGGGTGACAGATCGGGTGTCTGCAGGGCTGCAGAGATACAGTGACGAGCCGACCTCGTTATGTCAGAGCAGGAGGACTCTCTCCACTGAGAGGATGTGGCTGCTATTATCTCTGTCACCTGACACAGGGGACGCAGCCACCATACATCA